GGTTGGGCCCCACGGCGTGGCCAGCCCGACTCAGCCCCCAGCAGCCATGTGCACACAGGTGTGCAGAGCCACACGAGCACACGCACGCACGTCCTCCCCTGACAGCGAGGCCTGGAGCCCAGCCACGGTTCACTCCTCCAGCTGGATTCCCCGCGACACTCTCCACAGCACACACCACGGTGCCGTTGCCTCCAAAGGTTCCACAGCTACGGACTGTCTCAGGTTTCCACAGGGACGGGGCAGGCAGGTGGAGGGCTACAGGGCTGGGCCTGCCCATGGCCTCAGCCAGAGGCTCACGTGCTACTGGGAGGGCTCAGGAATCAGACCAAGGGCGCTCAAGGCTGCAAAGGGGAAGTGGGATGGCTTCAAAGCCCACTGCTCAGCTCCCTGGGGAAGCCGGTGAACTGGGTCCCTGAGAGGGTGCAGGCCAGCTTTCCTGTGAGATGGGGTGCCCAGGGTCCTCCAGGCTCCCAGTGCTGCTCGCTTCCTCTGCACCATGGCAGGTCTGGCCCTGCCCCACACGGCCGCAGCCCCTTCCACCTCCATGGAGACTGCTCTGGTAAGGGACCCAACAGGATGCTGGGGCACCATGCAAGCTCGAGACGAGTGCCACCACGAGAGCCCAGGCCGGGCGGGCCGGCCGACAGTCCACGTCTAAAGGGCTCCAAATGGGGGGTGTGTCCCCACTCTAGGCCTGGGCCTCCCTGGGGAAGACCTGTGTCCAGTCCTGACCACCCCTCCCCTGCACAGGAGAAGGGTACCTGCCAGGGCCAGAACCAGACCATCCTTGCTGGGCTGTGGGCTCTGAAGAGGAGCCCGTGAGGGCTTTGGAGCTGCAGGGTCTGCAAAGGCCGCCCGGCCCCGCTGCGCAGTGCACTGTGCGCTCCTCAGCAGCAGGGCTGCGAGGCTTTTGTTTACGAGAAGCAAGTGTCTCAGAGCCCTGCTCTGGGCGAGGGGCAGAGGCTGTCCCGGTCTCAGGCACCCTCAGCTATCTGGGTCGGCATGAGCATGACCCCGACACAGGACTGAGGCTGTAGAAGGCTGGGGCTGGGGAGAGACTAGAGATGGGCCAGTCAGGGCAGGCCTGGTGATCAGGCCCTACTGCTCTGTAAGGAGAGAGGACAGACTGGGATACGGCCCCCACCCTCTGCTCTGTTGCCCTGGGGTAAGGCAGCAGCTCCCTGCCAGCTGCGCGGCCTGGGACTCTCCACCGCCAGGACTGGGCGCCACGTAGCCAGTTTCTCTGTAAAGTCGACCGGTCTCGGGTATTTCCATCAGCCACGAACACAGCAGCTGAGACGGGCTCTGGGACAAGGACGCCTCCCCTGTCACTCAGCAGGCAGGCCACGCCCTAGGAGGCTGGCGGCCCCTGAACAACCCTAACA